TCCGGGGACTGATGATGCCTGTACATTTGCGGCTGCATTTTGTTGTTTGGTCATTCCGCACTTCCGGCTGAAGATTGAGAGCAGTGGATTTCCTAGGCAAATGGACTATTTTGCCTTGTGGGCGTTGACTTTGGAGTGATCGACGACAAAACCTGACAATCTTCCCAGAGGACAATTTTGATGGATCGAGTTCCCTTTCCCGATGTTCAGATCCAGAAATGACTGTGGCTCCACTGCCATCAGGGACGCGCGATCGGAGTCTTCCATGGATTAACGAATGGGCGCCATTGGGCGGAGATTAGAAAGTGCCACGACGTGGGTGGGACTTGGTGCGACTATGAAAAGGGAGGGACTGCGCGACTTCGCTGAGGAGTCGACGGCTGCTCGACGCGTGCATTGGCCGCGAAGAGCACTGACGAGTGCAGCACCAGGCGCAAAGAAGACAATTTGGGGGCGAAATGACGTTGACATGATGCAGTGAACCATCAAGTATAAAGATAGATGTTGCGCCACGGAACGGTATCTGCCTGAGCCCCGGACCGAGCCAGGCCGCCCAGCTGCAGTCCTGTCGCTGTCCTGTGAAGGGGAATGGGCGGACGTCGCCGAGGTGTTGGCTGCGAGAACAGGGTGGGCGTAGTAGTACTGCGTCAGGCTGCGTCCTGGAGTGCTGACGTCCTGTTGTGCTGACGACCAGTACTGCGTGGCCGCAGGATTTGTTCCCATCGTGCGGTGGGTGCTGGCTGACGCGCGTGCCAGCTATGAAGAATATGTTGAATTTGCACGGCGATATTTTGCGGCATGGTAGGACAGCAGTTGGGCTCAGAGTACATTGGTACCGTGTCATCTGCACACCAGATTGCGGTCCGCCCACAGCACCATGATATGCTGTCGCTGACTGAATACAGTACGAGGGGGAGGGGAAAACACCAGGATGCTCAACGGAATGCGGAAAACAACAACAAGTGCTGGGCGACGGAGTTGTCTGAATTGCCAAGGCAGTATTCGTAAATCGCAGGTTTGCCCTAAAATCTGCCTGACATTGTACAACTGCAGCTGGGAAGCAATGAAAAACATGCGGGTCCCTGACGCCTTGCCGTCGGTGCTGTGGCTGTCAAGCCTGGCATTGCCCAAGCCTGCAAGCAGTGCACAGTGGCTGCAATTCACATGCGCTCCGACTCCGCATGGGGCCCCTGAGCTGTATCGCCGCCTGCAAAAAATGGTCCTCTCCCACTATTGCGCTATTGTAGGCCTCATGTAGTCGTGCTATCGCGAATCTGCACCATGCACCAGACATCACTTCATTTTAGGACAGCGCCTGGGGGAACAGCCCAGCTAGGAGAGCAGAGACAATTTGTGAGTACATAACCCGAATGCCCGATTCCCTCTGGGGACCTTGTGGGCCGCTTACAGTTGATCCCGGATGCGGTCCATAACATCGCTGCCAGGGGTGCCATACACGTGTATGGCACCCCTGGCAACGATGTGCACAGCAGGTAAGAGCACACGAGCGCCGCGAGCTATGAGTCTTTGGTTGCCTTGCTGCCACCGATGGGCTTGGGGCGGTGGTCATGATCAGGATTGTTGTGGCAATTGTCCAGCCGTGCTTCCTTCGAAGGAAGGAAGCATCCCGATTTCGGGATCCGCTTTCCTTCTCAGGCATTGCTCAACTTTGGGGACGGGGGGCCGGCGTGGACCCCTGAACCGCTGATCTGCCGAGCCGCTTAAGCCTCGGGTACGAGGGGGACGGGGAAATGGCGTGAACCGCCGATCCGCCGATCTGCCGAGCCGCCGAGGCTGGGGGGGGAGGGAAATAATATTACTACCTGCACCAAATCGGTGACTGGTTGCACTAAATCACGTGCACACTATGTCCTAACCTCAGTTTTAGGGTTAGTTTTAGTTTTAGGGTTATTTTAAGGGTTAGGAATAGGGTTAGGACAGGTTCAGTTTTAGGTTTTAGTTTAGGTTAGTTTTGGAGGGAGTTGGTGCAAGCAGTCACTGATTTAGTGCAGAAAGTCACCGATTCGGTGCAGCCAGTAATTGTAGCCCGGGGGAGGGGGCTGACGTGGACCGCCGATCTTCTTCTACTTGGCATCACTGGTGGGACAGCCCACAGGGGCCCGGCGGTTCATCCGTTCGGCGGCCGCCCGGCCCGGGTTGCCGCCGGACCATGGCCAACCGGGTCCAGATTCACGGGGGTCACTTTGACTTACGCCCCCTGCCCCTCCACCCCTCGGATAACTGGACGCCACCGCGGCTCGGCGTTTGGGCGCATCGGCGGTCCACGTCAGCCCCCCGTCCACCCCAACCCAGGCCTCGGCGGCTCGGCGGTTCGGCGGATTGCAAGTCCGCCTTGCCAAAATCCGGGGACACTCAGAATCCGGGAGATGGTCAAAGTACTGAAACCTCAGGTGGAAGATGCATCCCCTGCACCTCCCCAGGTGTGCCCAGAATCATATATAAGCTCTGCCTCTGCCCCCTTTCCTCCACCCGCCGGCTGCAACTGCGGCGCCGCAGTCCCCGCAAACCTGCCGTCCACCGCACAGTCCTCTCGTTCATCTCAACAGAGGACGCCCGCGCTCACAGGTGAGGGTCCCCGCTGATAGATGTCGATCGGCCCCACTGAGCAGCGGGCACCGACGTGACCCTAACGGACATGCCTGCGAAAATGTCGCGACACTACGCGATCTGAAGGCATTCTCCTCGCTTTCTGACTCCACCGGAGGGCCCTGAGCCACGTCGCTGCCTGCGCAAGGCGTATTTCGCGCCGTTTTCGCTTGTTCGGACCTCGGCAACAAAATCCTGCTGCTGCACCGGACCATAGCTCAACTCGCTTCGTGTCAGGAATACCGTCGGGCCAACAGCTCGGGCAGAAGGGCGAAGGAGGGGGTGTTCTGGGAGTACAAATGCGAGTACTATAGCCTTCTTCGGCCCTCCGTAGCTCATCCCGGATATTGTGAAACATGTTTGCGCTGGTGCACGGCTGACAGAGTACGGTAGAAAAGAGTGCGGGAGAGCTGCGAGCTATGAGTTTGTGGAGCTATGAGTCTTTGGTCGCTCCGCTGCCACGGATGTGCCGGGTATAGTCGTCCTTTGGACGGTCATCGCGATTGTCGCGGCTGGGGCCATCGTGATCCGGATCACGGATAACGGATCCGTTGCATTCACAGGGGAAGGGCAAGCCTTGGAAACGGGGCTGGCGCGCCTAGCAGGCTGCAAAGCCTAGCCCTGACTTCCCCTCCCAGCGCCCTTGCACGTGGTGGTCGTCGTCGCAGGTTGCGCGCCATCGCTCCTCATGTGACTACCAAATTGCCGGCGAAATCCGGGGACACTCGAAATCCGGGGAATGGGTAGCAGCCGCGCTCGGTAACTTGCAATGTCGCATTTACCCCCAGGCGGTACAACATGCAAACAATTGTAGAGCCCTCGCCGCGGATTGACGGCCAAAAGGGCGGCGGCCGGAACGCGGCCACGGCAGACACCACATCTGGTTGACCAGGAATTTTGCGAATTCCCGATTTGAGGCCAGTATGGTGATCTCGTGTGCATTGTGAAGCTACATGACCAAATAAACCATGTCTTTTGGGGGGGCAAGGAGCCCGGACGGTCGGGTCGGCAAACGCAAAATTCTTGGGGCCAAGGCTTCCTCCCCACCTCCCTCAACGGGAGTTTGGCGCACGGGTCGACTTGCGGTTACAAAGTAGGCGCCGCTGGAGACAATCTAGCCGCCAGACTGCCAGGGGCGCAGTCGCTGGCACCCCGGCGTAATGGCCGCGGGTGACGGCGTCGCAACCGTTCTCATGAACCCCCAGGTTACACCCCATCGGCGGACTCGGCGAGACCCCTCCCCAGATTTCACGGGGCTTAGCGAGGCCGCCAGTGACTGACGGATACCGCCCATCGAATATGAGCCCATCTCCAAAAGGCTGAATCTTGCCCTCCTGAACGATGCCCTGAAGGGGCGCTTCGGCTCGCGGCCTCTCGGACGGCACCGAAGGTCATGGAGTCAGCAAGGGGTGGGTGAGCTTTCAGGGTTACGGCACGCGTCGACTCCATGCCACGATCCAGAAACCGCCTCGCGATTTTCGCACCTGCTGGGCGGGGTCCCATTTTTTGTCCGTGTCCGCTTGAGCGCCCCCAACCAACTCCAAGCCTGGGGGCGCTCGGCCGTGGGACGCCCTGTGAGATCCGCCTTGCCAGCTGCCCGTGGCCTAAGAGGCGGCCGGCTGAGCCCGTCACGCGCTTCGCGTGGGCTAGTTGGCGCACGAGGAGTTACGGAGAAGATGCCCCGGAGGCCAGCGAGGTGCCGGTTTCGCCCGTTGGGACTTAGAGACTGAGGGCTCCTCCGCGGATTCCTGGTCAGTCGGGACCACCTTCCCCCAGCGGGAGTCCTAATTCGTAGGGAAGTCCTAATTTAGGGAGACACGTTCAGCGCGGCCCCTGTTCGCTCTTGAGTGCAACAGTGCGTGGCTTAGTGTACCACTGCGGTACAATGCGAAACGTCCATCCACCACTGTGACGCGTTTCGACTGGGCAAACGGGTTTGTGCATCTATGATCACACACACAACTGCCTCTTCTTGCCAACCCCTCTGCGCACGCCGTCGTTGGCCTACCCATCACAGTGTGAACACTGTGTCATGCGCTTGTTGAGCACATACATGCCAGCTCTGTCTATCTGCCTTTTGGAATAAGGTCTACAATGTGCTTCTTCATGCCTTGTCTGCTTTCCTGTCATCTTCATGCCCAGCAAAGCATGTGCACCTGGTACTAATCGTGGGAGATGGAATGCATGCAACTGTTGAGCATCCAACCACTTAGTGGTGATCACCTCGCCTGTCTGTGCATGTGACTGGCGCCATGTCGGAATGGGGATCCATGAACAACGGCCTGCGGGCATATTGCAACAGTGAATAGTGTTCGCATCGGTGTGGTGAAGGCATATCTATCGACATATTCACAACAAATCCACTTTTAACACTCGACCGTGGAAATTTCAGGATGCCTTCACCAATGTGGAAAATCCAAGCTGGACTTTTCCTCCTGGCGCTTTTCGTGCCTTTCCTAGCAGGAGGACACCAGGCAGACGAGGTGAGTCGCTGTGCCTCTAGAAACAAAAATGTTCAAGCCCAGAAACAGTTGCGTGCAGTTCATTGTATATGAAAGCACTGATTGAAGGCAAACAGTATGCATTGCAAGGAGCAAAAACTAACCGCAACTTCGACAAGTTTCATTGTACTCTGGTAGACCCTCAGAATTGCTATCGTTTGGGCAGCATGTTTGCCATGTCGCAAGAGGTAGTTCAGTAGAATGCCCATTTTCCTGCAGTTTAATCTGCCTAAGCAAGGGCAAAGATTTCTTGAGCTGAGTTCATTTCCTCCATGCACATAAGATTAGCGTTGCCTGTAGAAGAGGCACATCTTCCCGCCTGTCCCATGTCTGCTATGAATTTGCTGGTATCACATATGTATTGTTGGTTGCACAGGGAGGTTGGCGGCCAGTGCCAACGTGCCGTTCAGCCATGTTGGTGAGCATCTTGGGAAGGTTCAGGGAGCACGTGTGCTTGGGCACTGTCGTGCACAGGAAACACATTCTGACAGCAGCCCACTGCTTGGAAGCTGCCGGCCCCATGCCTGTCATCAGGGCCATCAATGGAGAATGTTCAGGCAGACCTCAGTTACAGAAGGTGCTGTGTCGGTACCTGCAAAATGAGATCAGTGGCATGTGCCTCACTTGTGCCAGCTAATGGGCCCGTGTGTTCCATAGATGAATAATGGCTATTTGACATTACATGATTGGACCTGAGCAAGCTCGAAATCGCTGTGCAGTTGAAAGAGCTTCTCAAAGGTGCCTTATGGATCAAGCAGGGTCTGTGGAAATGTGGGTTGAGGAAGCTTATGCAATGTCCTTGCTGTGTTCGTTACATTGGCTGCCAATCATTGCCACACGATGTAGCGCTACAGCGAACAACAAGGAGGAGCTCCTGACCGATTTGTTTTCACGTGGTATTGTGAATCTTGTTTATTGATTGGCTGGCTTGATTGTTGAGAATCGAATGTACCATATCGCATCCCTGACAACTAGATAAGTCGATTTTTGTGGTGCTTGAGCCATTTCTTACAGAACTGAATTCCTTGTTTAAGAGTGATGCAATGAGGGAGCACGACGAAATGGGAACATAGATGAAAGCTAGAAATGACTTTCCCATTGGGCCCAAGCTCGGATGCTTGGCAATCTAATTGAGCGCCATCCATGACCGAAATACATAGGCCTGGAAGTTGTTTACGATCATGCTATTCACTATCAATGCTGACGTTTTAAGCCAAAAAAATATGGTTGCGGTAGACTACTCCCTTTACAAGGAAGTCGTAGAAATTTCAATATCTTGGGGCATCAATGCACATGGGTATAAGATGCGTACAACTTCCTTCTCTTCTGTGGAACTGTAGACATTACGAGGGCATTTTATTCTCTTCAAAGTTGCCTTTGAGACCCAACACTGATCGTATTGCAACAGGCTCGTGCACGACAGTGGAGTAGTTAATCGCATATGTTGAAATCCAAATATGATTTCATTGGATTCCTCAGGAACTTCGAGCAGAAGAGGCCATCAACCACCCCAGCTGGACAGGGGACGTTACGAAGGGATACGACATCGCACTGCTGAGGTTGCCGAGGCCCCTTGACGTTCAGTTGCCTCTGATGGCTAGCAAGAATTTCGATCTGTACCCCAACACAAAAGTCGACACATTTAGATTGCATGGAGACCTGCAAACTGCCCAATCTGTCGTCGTGGCCAATGCATTGTGCCCCCATCTGCCGGATTTACCGCCGCAAACGTTCTGCATATATTCTGAATCCGGAAGCATGGCCACAGGTAAGTGGATCATCTCTGTGCAAAAAAGTCCATGCTGCCCTGCCCGTGGGTCAGTGTGTGGCATCTGCCCAGTTTGTGTTGCATCATGGTAGTTGTGATCCAAATTGTCCTTCTGCGGCTATGTACTGCTATCGTTATCCAATTCTGAACATGTGCACATGCGCAAAAGGGAAGAATATATGTATGCGCATGTGAAGCATATTTTTGCACTCGATATCGACGATTAGAGTCACACATCCGAATTGAGAGCACTGATAGAATCACGCAAACCGTACTAAGTCCGTATTGGTAGCCATATGCTTGTCCTCGATACTGCGAACACTAGCAAAAAAAGGACCAAATGACACTTTTGCGAACACACATAAAACACATTTCATCAAAGTGCTCACGCTAAGAACACGAAATAACCCAAACCCGTAAACTTTGTACACGTTTGGACACGTGTTGTTTGGCCCTTTTTTCCTAGTGGAATGCGTACACACGACAAGTGGACATGCATTTACATGCATTTTGCGCATGTTCCTTGAAGCGCACGTGCCAGACGGAAAGCTCATCCACAACACAAACCACGCTCTATGGACTCCTTGAACATCTGATTGTGGAAGGTTGCTCAGGGGGACCAGTGATGATTCGAGACGACGCTCTGGGGGAGGTAGAGGACGGCGACGTCGGCCCAAGCAGCCACAGAAGCGATATTTTGGTTGGAGTTGTGTCGTACGCCAACCACACCTCTCTGAAGGACAGCGGCATCGGATGCGCACACACCATGAACTTGAAGCACTGGATAGCATCAGTGACGGCGCAGGTATGTGGGTGCCGGTAGTTGTTGCGATGCATCCACAGCTTTGTAAGCGAGTGCTTGTGAGATCGCAGTTCGCAAGAGCGCAAGATGCTCTAACCTTCGGCATCACAAAATCTTACCGTTGCGCTTTTTACTCCGCACTTTTGTTTCGGAGCGTTATTGTTTTACGTCAGCGTTGTTCCCGCGGCCTCTAAGTGGGCATTACGAACTGCTCGCGAAGTTTCAGGTGCAGCTGACCGGTCCCAGCCTCCTACGTGCATGCGCTGTGCGACTTAAGCAGGGTTCGAACGAACGGAAAACTGCTTCAGTGCTGAAGCCTGAATGTTTGCTATTTGCACCTGATCTCAGGATGGCCAGCTTGAGTTTTGTTGACGATACTGAAGCCCTTTCGAAATGAAAGGATTGTATTAATCCATTCTTAACAACTTTCAGGACGACTTGTTGCTGGTTGTCAAAATTCATATTGGGTTTGCCCTCCTGTAGCAGTGCCAAGTGGTCAGGCGACATGGAAACGCCGGTCGCCCTGCCCCAACTTCTTTTGCTGTGACTAATATCTCCAACGTGCAGGTGCCACAATCTCGGGTACTTACGCGTTTCTGCCGCGTGTCGTGTACTCAGGTCGACTGCCCACGACCATGCGGCCCCATGCTCATCGACCGCTGTGCACTGGGAATTGTGGCTGCGATTGCGGTCGTGGCTTTGGCGCACGCCGTGAGGCGACCAGTATAGGCGTTCCAGAAAGTGGCGCAACGATCTGGGCCTGAGGCTTTGGCTGCTTGTGCTGGCGCTTCAGCACTGCACGCAAGGGCTGGCTATGCACCGTCCGGTGATGCCCTCTGTTCATGCGCGCAGCCTGCGTGACTCGAGTGCGTGTGTATATTGAAGATTTGTGTTTGTGAACGTGCATCTTGGATCCATCAGCTGAAATACGATTTACGATGTGCCACGTCACACAGGCGCAGGGGCGCCCGATGTTTCTGACAGGCAGCTCACAGACTTGGCAATTGATCACCTCCTTACAAAAACATGTTCAGTTGCCCGCACGTGAGCAATCCAAAGCGGAAAAAATGAGTGATGACACCGCGGTATCAAGTCAAATAGCAAATTACATGCATGCAGGGCCAAAGTCCCCCTTGGATCCCCTTGGAAAGTCTCCTGGATACCCGCGGTATCCAGTGGTACAGCCACACTAGTCAGATCAGCCACAATATACACCGTGTTATGTAATCGTTCCTTGCCTGTTCACAGCCAGCTGAGGGGCTCGGTCACCCTGCAGCTTCGACAATGTACATGCCTGACTAGCGGCACTCATTCAATGTGATCGCTAGGATCATGCGGCAATGCATCGTCGCCGTCTATTACAGCAGCGGAGGTAAGCTTCTCTTTTTTCTGCACTCGCCGTGCTCGTGTTTCCAGTCCGCCTCATTCCTGCTCTTAATTGGAGCGTCGGGATTGGCCTGGGCCGCACAACGCCTGGAAGTGTCAGAGACTCACGTGAACTGCTGATGGGCGGTCCAACAGCGAAATCAACAGTCCGAAACATTATGAGAACGGAAGTACAGCATCAACGTTTTAGGCGTCAGATAGGACCGCTGTTTTAGTGTAATTCGAACAAAAAAACGCAGGAATATGTTATTTTGAGTGATGCTTGGGTTATTTCGAGCTATATAATATGTGTGCTAGTGGGTGCGGCAAAGAATGGCATGCCGAATACATTAGAATTGCCACGATATATTTGGGGCATGAAATCCTCAGTTGATTTTCATTGTTGGACAGTGGTAAAACATGTCCAATTCCAGAGTAAAATAGATGTTGGAGAGAGCATTAATTTGCTGCTGGGGCGTGCCATTCAAAAACAGGCAACGCTTGCACAACCACCAAGGAACATGATATCTCAATGATATCTCATCTCATAGGAGATTTTGCAAGACCTGTCATCAATGTACAACCCAAGACTCGTCAAGGCGAAGAGATAGCCGTCTGTCTCCCCTTTCGTTCAAGGGAGCAGCATTGGCAATGATTTGCATGAGCATACACCCCCAGGGCGTTCCTTCAATCTACGCAGCCTTTCATCGCTGTTTCGCTGGAACGTGAGGACAACTGTTGAGGAGGACTTACGATGGCCTAAAAGACGGTGTCCTTAGGCGTTCGAATATTAACGATATTGGCGTACTTGTTTGCTCTCAGCCATCGCCCCCGCGGGCCCCAAGATTGGGCCAAGTAGCCTGTGAAGAGCTGCATGCTGTAGTGTCCTGTAGCCTTAGTTTATGCCATATTTTGTGACACAACATCAGAGACTACTGATTCCTAATGGTGCTGTAAGTAACATTGGGCGTCAAATCGCAAAGTAGCAATACATTCTATGGCGGTTTCAAAGGGATGCCGATCAGCAGTGCAAAATGTACCGCCTGTATGGCTCCAAGGAACTGAACACACCCAAGGGAAAGAGCACGTCTCTTCAATGATGCGGATTCAAATCCGAAAGGTCGGAATTCCAAAATGCAGAATGAATTAATGGACGGCGGTAAATAACATCAAATGTTGTGGTGGAACATGCTCTAGTGCTACGATGGGAACGCCACATCAATTGAAATTGGCGGCCTCTGCAGGTCGATTCAGCTCGACTGCTGACTTGGAGATTGAATGAAAACCGATTATGTCATGGCTGCAGCACCATGCTGTGGCACTCATTCGGCTGCAATTCTGCTTTCCTTTGAATGCCGCATTGCAATGGACACATTTTGTCTGAGGCATTATGCAGGGCGCTGATGGCTGCCTAGCCTCGATATTCAAAATTCAAAATTTCTGCCATACCGGTCTCCTTCAACCCCCCCTCCCCCCGTGCTCCCCACACGACAATACATTACACTCACACAGTTTGGTGTCCATCACCTCACTAATACAAGACCCAATTGGTTACCCACTTGAACGTGCCCTCGCTTCGCATAGTACTTAATGCCACTCTGATGGTGACTCAACCCAGAGTCAGTTCCCCTTGCCTCGTACTCAACTCCCTCTCCATCCCACAGCTAACCAAACTCAATCTATTAGGGTGGGCCGGGCGGGTGCGAAACAAGATAAAGGGGGGCGCCAAGGGTCGCGCCTAAAATAGCCGCTCCCACTTGCCGCCAAACTCCCCGCCAAACCTAAGGGCCAGCTTGACCGGTCCCCTTGGCTGCAACCAAGGTACAAGGCTCAACCCAACTGCCCTTGGATCCGCTGGGCAGAACTGGCCCCAAGTACAGGGGCGACAGAAACGGCCAATGGATGGCCCCAAACTGTCCAACAGGCGGAATGGCCCGAACTGGCCGATACGCACCCACCCAACGTAGTCCTTGGCAGAAACTCATTAACATGATAGTTAATTATGTTTCTGCCATACCGGTCTCCTTCAACCCCCAACCCAGCCCACCCCCCCGTGTTCCCCACATGACAATACATTACACTCACACAATTTGGTGTCCATCACCTCATTAATACAAGACCCAACTGGCGACCCACTTGAACGTGCCCATTCTCACTGGGGCACGGTGCAGCCATGAAGATGAACCATGGAGATTGCGGCCAGGTATTGGGGAAGGCTCGGACTCCCACGCGCTCCTCCTCATGCAAGAAGTGGATGTAGCGGTAGATCGACAACGGCCGCACAGGCAGCGCCACAAGGTCGTGCGCCTCGCAAAAGGCGGTGAACTTGGTGAACTTGGATTGCATGGAGCACCGCGTCGACTCCGTGTAGAAGGAGAGAAACTGGTCTTGCATCCACGAGCGATCTGATGACGAAAGGCCATCCACGTCACACCCAAAGAGGGGGTGGTCGGGAGGCATGACCTCCACCGGGAGGGGGTCCGCCACCGGCGATCCCGGGGCAGAGTGGGGTGTCACCTCCCCAAATTTGTTGTCCGACTCCGCGGTTGAATGTGGAACGCCCGAAGGTTCCAACAAGGGGGAGGAAGAATGGCCGGAAGGGCCAGATCCCCCGGGGTGAACATGCCCGCCCAGCGGGGAATGGCCATCTCCCGTGAGGCCAAACGACGCAGCCCCGGGAACCACATTGCCGATGGCCAGTCCGGAGCTAGGACGACTGCCTCCACCTCCTTGTGCGCCGTCAGAAACGCCGTGAGGTGTGGGAGGAGCGACCAGGGCAGGTTGGCCCAATTGGCCTCACACGCGCAATCCTGGAGGAATGCATCCACCCCTG